AACCATTGGTAAGGCTAAATAAATACTAATGATATTTATATTAAAATTAAAATTTTACCCCAATTACAAATTATAATTTGTTTGCTGACCTAGAACTAAGTACATTGTTCCACGTAAACACGGCAGATATGACTACAACACAGGTAGTTATAATAATGCAAAGAAAATTATTACAATTTAATTTAACCCTGAAGAAAACAAATAAAGTTATAAAATACTGCTGCATTACGAATTCATAATAGAATTCATAATAGAAACGTTTTTGAAATTCGGCCAAAGTACCTACATATATTTTAAACCGAAACATACTTATATATCTTGCAGGGTTTTGGCCCAAAAATAGGTGATTTCATTATTTCTGGTCCAATTAAAATAGTTATTTGTTGCATTTTATTGCAATCCAAACAGGTACTATCGTCGATTGTGCTTAGGAGTTACTTTACTTTGAAAAGGATTGTGGGGGATAATAGGTACAAGAGTTGGCAACACCGAGTCTACAAGATCTAAAAATAAAATTCAATCTACAGTTACTCTATTGTTGATGTTATTGGAAAGCGGTTTTCAAACATGAGGGATTAACAGCAGTCATACTTCATACAAAACGATATGGATCGTTGCCAAATATTTGAACGAATTCTGCGAAAAAAGCACTCATTTCTGTCTTGAAATTTAATGTTAACTATCTTAATTTGAAACTATAAATAGTAAATGCGTTGGTGGAGTTTAATGGGGCCTTTTATAGATTACTAAAGTCTATGGCAGGCCACCCACGGAGTTATAAAAACAAACACATTCTTCGTCCTATTCCACAGTTGAGTTTTAAGACTATTTACCATTTTCAAATGTTATTTCCTAGTTTTTTTGTCTGGCTTGGGTTACAAAAATGAATATCTTAATAGAGCCCAGTGGATCTTATATTACCTATTCTATACATAAATTGGAAAATGAAAAATGCAATTAGAAAGAAAGAAATATTAGTGCATTCCCTAAACTATGCCTGAACCGGGCCTTACATTTTAATAATGTAAAAGCCTAAATTGTATATTCAGTGCATACCTACAGCTTATTAGGACAACTAGTTACTACAAATAGTAACACATTACATGTTAACTAGGTCTGCGTAGTAAATCATTGCAGCATTATATCCCTGACATGGTAGGTGGACCTAGCTAGTCTGCACGTTCACACACATCAGATTATGCATATGATTATGGAAAAAGCCCAAACATAACAATTAATTTAATAAAAAAAATCATATCCTCTTTTCGCTTGATAGAATTTTAAAATACGAAAGAGAAACGAAAAAGGAAACTAACTAAAAATAGACACGAGTACGAATAACAAGTGTAGATAATGTATCTTTTTTTTATGGAAGAGGGTAAAAACGAGCAGACAGGTCACCTAAGGGAAAGCGACTACCGCCGCCGATGAGCGCCTGCAAATGCAACTGCAATATATCATAAGCACCTAATCTATACTAATATTATAAAGCTGAAGAGTTTGTTTGTTTGTTTGTTTGTTTGTTTGAACGCGCTAATCTCAGGAACTACTTTTCCGATTTGAAAAATTATTTCAGTGTTAGATAGCCCATTTATCGAGGAAGGCTATTGGCTATATATAATCACGCTAAGACCAATGGGAGCGGAGCACCAATGAAGAATGTTTCAAAAACGGAGAAAATTTATTACTATTGAGAGACGCAGACGAAGTTGCGCGGGTCAGCTAGTTTAAAATAGTTTGAGAGAAACATTGTAACAAACAAAAATTTCTACAAAAGTTGACGGCGTAATATGTGTACTTGAATTGATCAATAATAGTCTTAATGCTAACAGTGGGTAAACACTTTAGACTATTAGCATAGTGTACGAAGTGTAAGGCAAGTATGCATTTCTTGTGCAAGTAGAGCCGTGGCCTAGTTTACCGCGCATTGCGTAGGTCAGTCATGAACTCATGAGTGGCGTGCGACTACACTTTCTCCTTAATGTGTTTCACTTTCACTAACTAATCGACATTTTGATTTCGTATTTAATATTTATCTACAAATACCATTGATTGACCGTTGCCTTTTTGCCAACGTATTAAAACAATAGTAATTATTGCAAGAAACTAGCAATAGTGGATAGATGCCTTAATTGGAATTCGTCAAAATTAATGCCTTTTATTATAAAAAAGGTCATTACTTTTTGACTAAAAAGTTGTTTAACGTGATTATTTAATGATAACACCTACACATAATTTGTCCTAATGAAAATAATTTCATACTCATAAACAAATATTTTCATTATTATAATTTCAAGTATTGTATAACAATGTTGTTATATGTATATGGCGTCGCGAACAGAAGTTTTAAGATAATGATCCAAGTTATGCAGTTATAAAAATGACATTAAAAGCAATCAAAGATTCGTTCCATCAATCCGTGGGTTATTCACTATTTCTTTGTGCCTCACGTCACGTAACACGAGTGGAGTGTTATAAAGAACAAAAGTCAATATCAAACAAAACTAAATGACTCAACTTTCCCCGCATATTCAGTACGAATGTAAAGTTTTAATTAGCCTTTCAAAACTTTCTATTCATACACTAAGTTTCAGTGAGTGTGGTTTCAATTTTGATACTTAATTAAATTCTGAAGTTTGATCATTTTCAATTGTACCTATTTGATCTTTAAAATTTCTTGAAAGACGACAAAGTTCTTCGTTAATTGCCATGTCACCTTACTGGAGGACATAATAGAGAACAGCAGAGAATGTTGTGTTTAGTTATACTTTTACGTACGTACCTATTCAATGAGAGAGACTTGAGACGAATAATACTCGCTACTACTGCTAATTCGTTTAGTAGTACCTCATGTAATATTCTTAAACAAGTTATTAATGCCAACCATCATTTACAGACTGACAAAAACTCGTAACATAATTTTTAAATGTATAAAGAAAAAGACATATTATTATAAAACTTTGTTCTAGTACACAATAAAAAATTGTTCTCACATTGTAAAAGTGTGTACAAGTCTTATAAGGCAGATAACTGTAGCTAGTATAATTTAAAACAAACTTCGAGGACTAGAAACTAAGACAAATACACTCCTTAGATCAATACAAACAGGTTGTTTGTCAATATCCCGATGACGCAGCAAGTTGTCAGAGCGTGGTGCTCGCTTGTGGATATAAACAGTTCAGTCGCGACCGACGGCTGCCCTCCACACCCCACTTACCCTCCAAATGTGGAAAACACCCTTCCGCCTCCATTGCCCCGCTTTTCACGAACACTTACGTGGTCTGCGCCCTATCCGCGCCTCCCCAAGTTTCGCATGTTTATGCCATAAATTTTTGTTATGACAACACACGGTCAGCTGAGCCAAGCATGCGATATTTATTCTGTAAATATACATATATATGTTTTATTATCATATAAACTTAAAGAAATATACTTTATTTAAATCTGGTTTAGTTTAGTAAATTTATTTCTTTCAAAATTCCTAAAATATTTTCTTAATTTTAGGTCGTAATTATGATAAGCTGAAACAGATGCCTATTGTTTCTTCACGTCTATTGAATTGAATATTATTTTATTTCATTTCCAAGTTATTTCGTAAAATTTTGAAGAATATTATAATTGAAGAAGGTATTATTATGAAAAACAAAACAGACCTAAAAGTGTTTATCAAGTATTTATTACTGTACTGTGTTATGTTCTAATACTCATTAGCATTAGTGCATAAAATTGAACATTCGGCTGTCTTTCTGCCCAGTCAGCGTAATAACCGCTACCGAGCTGCGCCGCAGACTAGCACTGACTCGGCAATAACTGGGGAGTTCTTGCCAAGTCGGCACTGAGTCAGCATGCGCCGCCATGAGTCATGATTCATGACTCGGCGTAATTCGGACTTGAATCGCCTGCCGTCAGCTGAAATAAGTGGATTGCTGCTTTCCGACTGAATGATTTCATTTTTAAAGGACGCCCTCTGATGTCATTACCTTATGCTTACATTGTATTTGTATTATTTCTTATTAAAGCTCGAGACACGATCCGTTTGATGCTATCATATTTGCTATTCTTTATAAGAGGAACACCTGATGACTTTTTGTCAAATTATGAACAATTGATAAAGGCCACAATTATGTTTTAGTGTCATTTCCGACTTTTCTTCGTTTAGATTGTACATTCTGGGTACACATTTTTAGTGGTCTCCAACGTAGACTCACCTGCATTTTGACTTACAAATGAAGGCTGTTTAAAATGCCGAAGTAGTTAGAGATATCTGTTTTTATCTTATCATAGCTGTAATCGTTATGGATTTTAAATATTGCATTACGAAATTGTTTAAGTTATGTCATACAATTAACTTTATATCACATTTGTTTTAGGCACGTATTTATTAAGTAACTCAAATGTAATGTACTGCAATACTACTAGTAGTGCTAATGTATTTTTTTCCTATTGAAATAAAATTCAAAAAGCTACCTTATATTATATAGATTTTAATATTCAAAATGTAAATTCACCACCCAGCAAGACAATACAATAATAACTGATGATGGGTCTTCCTGTCGGCTCGCCGATATAATTATCATAACTTAAATAATAATAGCTTTGGGTTTCATTTCCCTCTGAATATCTGGTAAACAGTTTCCAATTACCATCAAGGGTTGTTTTCGTTATTTATGAATTCGGGGTTTATTATAATTTGTATGTTGTACACCGGATCACGCAGTTTTTCATCAAAATTAATACGAAGTTTGTTAATAGAATAAAATATTACTTCTTCACAAATCATTACTAAGTCATCTCTTCAAGTGGAATTCTTTTATACAGGAGAAATGTTCATATCGTAAACACATGTCTCACTATGTACATGTATGTATATAGAGCTTGCATGATACCGAAATGCACGAAGCAAGTTATAGTACAAAATCAAAATAATATCCATTTTTTTTATCTCTTCAATTAAAAGTCCCATGCGGTATTTCAGTTAATTAAGGATTATTTCTTTACAGCGCATTGAGCGCGAGTCAACAAAGAGCCCAGCGACTACCGGAGGCAGGAAAAAATCAGCAGCCGTGAGAAGTAACGGACAAATTGCAGCGACAGAGCCACCACCACAACCTGCAGGTAAACAAAACTTTTTAAATTGCCTTACACAAAGGAAACCTCTTGTTTTTATTATTCCTTAAAAACTTGCAAACTTTATAAAAAAAGCAATTAACATCAAAATTTATGGCACCATTTTAAAGCTATTATCTCCTAACTGTGTGTTTATTATTCTTTTAAAAGTAAATACTATTATTATCTGTGGCCACGTTACGAAAGAAACGTTTTTGTAGTGAAAGTTATTTGATCAATCAACGATAACATTTGGTAACTGACATTCAATCACGATTTTTATGTTAGAATAAACCGAATAAACACAAATATAAGCAATAAGGTTTTTTTCAAAAATAAGAAAAATGACAAGAAGAAAAAATACTTTGAAATGTAATGACGCTTAATTAATCTCACGGTTATAAGAATATTTCATGTTTTATTTTCAAAACTGTACAGTACTAACAGCAAGTAACAGTAGCTGAAAATATGTCTTCTAGCTTATTTATAAGTTACACAGTTAAATGCTAGGCATAATTTATGTTCTATGCGATATCAGGCAAAATAGGAGATGCTTATGGGGCTTTAATACACAATACTATTCAGTGTCTTACTACATAGGATTATTGGATTTATCGGGTTATAAATGAATATTAATAAGCGTTATGATTTATTTGTCCTGCGTGAAGTAATGTTAATTTTTTGAAAGAGATTAGAGATTAAACGGAAGTGAATGCTTAGAACTGAAGCCTATCCCATTAGACATTGAATTGTAATCAAAACTCAAGGCACAGAACTCTGAACTATCCATATATATTCCCATTTTAATTCCTACTAGATTGAGTGCACTTCCCACTAAAGCTTTAGTTTAAATTTGAAATGTGTCTATGTACGGATGTACGAAATAATGCTTCGGGATTCCAACAAAGCGCTTGCATTTGGAAATTTGAAATAGTTATTTCGGTTACCTTGTGCTATGTGTCATTGTGTTTTACGAGTATTGTATTTCCTTACTTGAAATTTGGACGAACAATTAGCGTAAACAATTTAGCTGCAATTTGTTTCGTCAGGAAACTGAATATAGAGATTGTGGTTACTGTGAAGTTGTCGTAAAATATTAAATATATAGTGCTGATTATTTCCAAAATAAAAATTGAAGAAATAAATTTTAGAGTCAGTCTGAACCATGTCTGTCATTACACGGAACAGCTTTATGCAATATCCTTGGGAATATATAGATAAGCGTGTCTCAAATTTTACGGCTTTTCTCCATACGTTGGCATTTTGCCAGTCGACAGTTATATACGGTTACTTACATTGATATAATACTTACATAGATGAGTAATTACCGCCTAAAATCGTTGCTACTGCACATCTGTCCACAGGCATATGCGTAGCAAACGTCAATTCAGTGTTCAATGTGGCGTCAACCGAGTTGAACATAGCGACACATGACAGTAACAATCGCCAAAATGGGTAAATGCGTAGTGAAAGAATGCGATTCAAGGTCACAAAACCATAATAAATCATGCGGAATTAGTTATCACGTGTAAGTTTATGGTTTTTGTATTGATAATATCGTAAATAAGGCTATAATTGAAATAAAACATTGATAATTGTAATTTAGAATCAGTGTTACCATTAAAAAATCATTTTTGTTTTCCCACATTAGTGGGAGAATTTATAATTTATGAAGTAATATGCTTTATACTGTTTTTAAACATTTTGTCAATAATAATAAAATATAGGAAGAACGGTAGTTGTTAGGGCTGAATCGATCACTTTTTTTAGGGACCCGTTTAACGTTCATCTTCTGCCAAGCTCGCAGTGTTGGAGACTTTTGTATAAAAGAATTAATTCATTCATTCATTCATTTTTCTTAATTAATTATCAAATATAAATAACAATTGTACAAAAAAATATATATATATAAAATAAAAAAGTAAATAAATATAAATAAAAAAATTTAAAAAACAAAAAAAATAAAATATTTTTTATATTTTTTTTTATTTGTATTTTAAAATATTAAAAGAATTTGCAATACACCCTGGGGATTATTTATTATCAGTACAAGTTGATCATTCACTTTTACTATTAAAGGCATTATTTATACATAGGTAAAAATAAGATTGTATCATGAAAGTAAAATATTCACACAAACTTATAAAAAAGAGTCTAAAAGACAATTGTATACAAAACTGATGCTTCATAGCGGAGTTTGATTTTACACTGAATATAAACCCTTTTAACCAAATATTTCTAGTTATTTTATTATTTATACCTATTCCATTCAATTCGAAATATATTATTTAAAATATTTAAATTAATTTATTTTATTACAAAATTGTTTTAAAAAAAAATTGTTTCTGGGTTGTTATGGGTAAAATTTCATACGGTAGTCAACACTGGCCCACCATCGTAAAGTTATGTCTTTGTCTTTGTCTAATCCGAGCGATGGTATTGTTCTTGTCTCGCGTGTAAATGAGACATGAATATGTTTACTTTCAAATGTTTCGTGGTATCAAAGCTACGTCGTCAAAGTTCAAAAGTGGTTACACTTTTTTCGACGTGTGATAATGAGGTTTGCTTCTCTAGTGTTGTTTTAACTCAATGGTTACTTAAACTTAATAGTAGTGTATGGTACATACACTACAGCTGGGTTATGCAGTGCACCGCTATATGATTAAATTTACACCGCAGAAATTTAGTTAGCAAACTGTTACAATTGTAAAATTACTTGTTTCTTTTATTGATCTTACAGAACCATCCCTATTTTACATAAGTTAAACATTTTATATTATTCTCGAAATAAAATATGGATCCTTTTTTTCCAATAGAAAATATATTCTTAGAAGTTTATTTTGTAAGTATTCTTGTTTTGATAATCATAATCAAAACAAATCTATTTGCAGTACATAAGTACGGCCAACGTAAATTGCTAGCTTTTCTGATAGAAATATTAATCATTGCAATTTATTGTCTGAAGTTGAAACAGTTTCAGGATAAAAATAGCTGTCGGATAAATAAATCTGTGTTGGTGAGGTAATAAATATAAGATGTACATTTTCCCTGTACCACCCTCGCTAATGGATGATCCTGCTTCATCTTTTGACTGCACCTAAGACGGATAACATCCATTTCTTTCATCTAGTCCTTTGAGACGTTGTCCATGTGATCGGTTAATCTTTCTAATGATTATAATATTCTTTCTTATTCATGACATCCTTATAAAAAAGAATTGTTTGCTGTTTATTGCTTCATGTTACGTAGTTGTCTACACGTGTGACAGCTTTTTTTAATGGTATTTCAAATGTTGTAAATTACTATGATATTTCTAGTCAATATGGTTTTAAATGTATGCTTTTATGTGAGCAAATTATGAATTAATGGTTTTGCCCTAAAGTACGAGTATTTAACGATTAAAGAGAATTGTTGCGTGTCTAGGCTACATACATAACACCGTGAGGGTTAGAAAGTAAGCACTAACTAAAATGGTCACTTTCCTTAGTCAAAAATATCTCTCTCTCTCTATCTGAAACCTCGTCCTAAACCGGCAGTATTAACTTAATAGATTTGACCTCTACTTTTGATACAATACCTAACGTATGTACTCATGTATAATCATATCTGTATTATATCCAATCAGAGCTACTTAAGCCCTTGTATAGAGTAGATACCTGAGTAATCCTAAGTAAAAGCGGATCTCGCAATAATTGAGAGCAGCTAGAACCCGCAACCGACAGTATTAGCTTAATGAACTAGACCACTTCAAGGTATAAGATCGGCTGTATCCCAGCTTATATTACCTACATAAATGGCTAAATACATGCGATATAATTATTTTGCTTACTTACTCGTATCTCGTATAAAGACTTAATGAATCTTTGACTGCAATTTACAGTAATCTACATATTTGCAAATTGTATACCTTGTTTAATTACTTACGAATATATTTGCTTTTAAAGAGCACAAAGTTAAATAGTCGGTTACTTTTTGACTTTAATTAGTAATTACTTACCAACTTAAGTTAGAAGTAAAGCTTAGAAATCTTTTGTTGCTTCTGAACTTTCTAAAACTTCCAGTGTTTTAATTTCATTTGCTCTTTTGTAACATCTAAATGTTTTACTTTTATTCAAAGTATTGCAAGGAAACTTAAATAGGACACACAATTCCCCTTAGTCTGTTCTGTAGAATCTCATCCTTTGACAAGAAGATTATGCCCGCGATAAAAGCAGATAAAACGTGCTTCCATTTCGTGCGATGTGTGCAACTGACTGGCGTGACGTCAGAGAACGCGAGTAGGGGGAGATTATAAATGTGACACATACATGAATAATATAAATCATTGAATAAAAGTCTCAAAGTAGCATCTGCACTTGTTGATTTTAATATGTAATAATGTAGTTATTATAGGTACAGCTAGTAGTATAGTTTAAAGTTAGTATATGTTGTGCCCAAATCAAGAATATATTTTTCCGGCACTCGGTTCAGACAGGTAGGTTACATAGATTTTAAAAGATCTCTTTACAATCAGAATGGTTATAACTGACCCTCTTATTCTCATTTACTTAATTGAAACACGTCATGGCTCCTAATTTCTCTTTCATCTATATTTTCTCAATTTTTCCCCTCATGGTCTGTCCCGGGACCAAGTTTTGGTATTAAATCTGACGGCACCAACAGGATAAATACTTAATGATAATTTATTTATCTCAGGAAATGACAAATTAAAAACACCTTGATTGTATAAATATAAATGTTAATGTGAATCTTATCCTTGTATACTTTTACCGAATGAATCATCTTTTTATTTTTTTTATTATCAGGTTATCAGGGATCCTATCACGTACAGAAAAGGCAATGGGAGACATTTTTAACCAGAAAAAGTAGTACCTCCTACTCAAAGAGGAATAACTCCTTGTACAGTAATAATTTTGAACTGGTTTTACGCTTTCATAATTTCGATCTACATTCAAATTGAT